GGCTGGGGAATTCTGGGAGTTGAAGTCCAGACATCTTCAAGTTGCCAAGGTTGAGAAACACTGTTCTAGAACATATGCAAGAGTTCCAGATGTATTATGAAAAATATGTGAGATTAGTACTCAAAAGAGCGCAATAATTTCTGTATCTTTGGCGTTGGAAACTACTTTTTAAACCCATTCCTTCCCAGAGGCTGAATAAAACTAGTGTGAGATGAAGTGGAAGACAACTTAGGTTGGTAAAGTGGCGTCTAAAAACAAAATAAACTAATTGTGGTGGAAGGCAAAAGAAAGTGAATTAATATGTCTTCCCTTAGGGAAGGAAATGAATCCCACAGCCAAATTAATTCAAGTTTGCCAGAATTCACAGCAATATCTATGCTGCCTGCAGATTTCTGGAATTTGAACTATTGGATTCATATGCCAGAATAAGGACAATTTGAATTTCATTCCTTTACAACTGGGACACAAATTATATATCTTTTTAAAATGTATGACAGTAATGCAGAATAGCAATTAAGGAAATCCTCAGTTCAAAACTTGACTCTAGTGGATTCATTAAATGGACACAAGCAAGTCATTGTATTTTAGCCCTAAATTTCCCGTCTGTAACAGAAACCTAGTAATGTTCAGTTATATTTTAGGTATAGGATTTCCCCAGATAAATGTTTTATGTTCGTTGAACATGTTAAATTATTAGATGTATGCAAATCTTATCAAAATGATCTTAGGGCAACAGAAAACAAACGGCTTGGATGTTAACATATACAGTACTAAATTGGTGTTTCTCATTACAACCAAACATGCTGTCAAATTGACTTTTTACTTTCTTATAGGGAGACCAGAAGCTTTCACAAACATTGTTTAGCTAACCCTAACTGCAAAATAGTAAGTAGCATGCACAAATTTTGAAAAACCGAGAGTGAGTTTAAGTATGGTTTATTAAAGCATCCAACTTCAAACCATAGATTATTATGCCTGACTCAATAATCCACAATAACTCAAACTATGATTAAATGGAAAATGGAACTTGGATTTGTACAGCTTTGCTATGATCAGAGACTGCAAAAAAATTGAGGATGTAGTTGACAGTGACTAAAATACCAATCATTGCTAAATACAATTGTTGAACGAACAGAAGCTTTTGATTTCCTAATCAACTATTTCTAGGATTCATTCAAAATATCACACTATAGAATCTGATACTATTAATCACCATGGAAACCACTGTGATGTCACAGAAATTGAATTAGTGCATCACTGGATGAATCTGGAAAAAAATATTGAATACAAAGGATCAAAACTTCAGTTTGAACACTGTCTTGGTAATTTTGAATGGGAAAAACTTGTAAAAGAAATTTTGAATTTTAAGACCAATTTTAATTTGAGAGAGAAAAATACTAAGTGCAACAATTATCCTCATATTCATTTTATGAGGATCTGGTGCAGGGTACATCCAGTTTATAGGATCTTTCTAAAAGTCCTATTATGCATTTTTATCAAATAGAATTTGAGAAGCTGGTTGAATAATATGTCATCACCACTGTATTTGAAAGAATGGAAAAAAGAAAGAAAGAAAGAAAGAAAGAAAGAAAGAAAGAAAGAAAGAAAGAAAGAAAGAAAGAAAGAAAGAAAGAAATCACAATCTAAGGTATTTTTCAACTATTAGGGGATTAAAAATATTCTTAATTCTTGATTTCTTCTTGTAACCATGGTACCTTAATTTCACTACACGCAGGCACAGCTGCTTAAAAGCAGATTCCAAATCTATGCATAATCCCCATATAACGCAACATGAAATCTACCACCATTTCCACTTCCATAAAATTAATTTTAAGGAAGCACAATCCTAGCTAGTGTCGGACTAGTCTTAAGTGGATGTTAATTATGTGGTATGCTGAAACAGGCAAATTATTTCCACTAGTTATTGGTTTACATGGAAATCTGACTCTAAATAGAAATCCGTATACTGCTGCAAAATCCACCCCTCCCCCAATAAATCATCAAGATCATATATATTACAATATATGATCAAATTTCCATTAATGTCATGGAAGAAGTCAGATATATAGTGCTTATAAAAGATTGGCAGCATACAAATCAAATATTTAACTGCATATACACATGTTGATAAAATGTGCACATTAGAACTGTCATGCATGTATCAATATGATTATATTGTAGCAGTCTTGTTATTTATGAAACACACATCTCCTAAGTAACTTAAATGCCTGTTAAATGTTTATATTTGTATTTTACTGGTAGGAATTCTTTTCATATAATCATATGTAAGTATATATAAATGTGTTTAATTATATTATATAATGATGATAATTCATATAATAAGCAGATTGCCCCAATAAAGCTAATCTTTCATTATTATTGAAATTCAGGTTTTTAATATAATTTCCTTTCTGTATTCCTTCATACCTAATCCTATGAGAGGGTGATGCTCCACTAAGGCCCAGCTGTTGTCATCCACACAATGACTTTTGTAAACGAGCAACTGGCAGAGGTCCCGGGCTGTTGTATCTGCTAAGATCTCAACTACCTTGCAAGTCCCATCTTCACTAAAAACTTTTATATCCTGCAATACAAAAAAATGATACACTTTATTGATAGCAGCACTATATTCCAAAAAACATTAAAAGAAAAAAACACCAAATAATATAAATAATTGATATTTGGCACATTGTGGCATATGATAATGAACCTATATATACCCTAATGCAATAAAATGCTGCCTCCTAGGCACTGTTCAGATTAAGTCTATTTGAATAATTTATCTAATTTTGGGGCCATAGAAAGGAAAGCTATAAACAACACACATTACATACAATGTATCTTTGCATCTTTTCTAGAAAACCAACAAGCTAGGATTCTCAGAAAAATCTTACAACTATGTTAATATGAATATTAAATGTTAATATAAATATTAAATCCCTAATACAAGGGGTCTAAACAATTGGCAGAGAGAGACAGCAATATTAATCACATATTCTCCACTTCAGGATTTTTTTTTTGCTCTGGAGTGTTTTAACACTCAAAAACATGAAATTAAAAAAGCAATATTTTTTTACAACTCTCTTGATTAGTATTAAGTTTGTCTAATTTAGAACTGAATTTAAAACAGTTGCAAGCACTAGTTACACTTCTTCCATGCTTGTATCATAAAATCTTATCCTTTCTTGCCACAAAATATACTAATAATTGACAAGAATAAAAATAGAATAAACAAATTATTATCTTTAATCATTAATTAAGATGAGACTGTAGTCTCCTGGCAACCTGTGAATATTAAAAAATATTCCCATTACCAATTACTATTGTCTTAATCAGTAATAATAAATAGTATTAATCCTGCAAAAAGTATCCCATTCACAAGTTTAACCTTAGAATAAGATTTAATACAGAGTTAAGGCTATGTTAACTTTATATTCTGATTTGGGGAAGGAGAGAGAAAAAGAAAGCATTTTACCTCACCAGTGTGCACAAAGCAGCAATCAGGAGAATAAGAAGGCATTTTAAAATATAGATTTCTTGTTCAGAAAGATTGTTCTCTGCCCCTTCCAGCCCTTTGAAATTCCAAGCTCAAGCAACTCAGGTTATTTCAATGGTTATTTCAGTGTCAGCAAGTCCTGGTGGTGTGTGCACCATTTTCTGGAGGAAGCAGAACTTCCCTCAAAGGGTTACACACAATCTTTTAGGTAGTGAATCAAACCACACTGTACAGACCAATCCTAGCCCTTTTTGTGACTGATGTAATCATTTCCACAGAACTCGCAGACATCCAAATTATGACCCCAGGAAGAATTTTCTTCCTTTATGACCCCCCGCATGCATTTTAAAAGAGAATAGCACACAGCCCAGAAATCATTCACCAGGATCACCAAAGTTTAAAAGAGCCAAACTCTGCAGCCCAAATCCGACTGGCTCCTTGAACTGTTGGTCTGTTTGCCAAATCCGTTTCCTTTCCCCACCTTGTGGAAGCAGCTGATGTCATTTGTTTGCAAGTTAAACCCTTGAACTTCTCCAAAGCTTTTAATGCTACTACTTCTCTCCCCCTCCACACACACACACACACACACACACACCAGCAAGGATCGTTCCCTCCCTCTCTGCTTCTCCGAAGCTTAATAAAGGCTTTCAAAGAGAGCTGAGGAATTATCATAAATTCAAAAGCTTCATCTGTCCATTCTTGTATTATGCTGTATATTTAAGAAAGGGACTCCACAGTGTCATATTAATGTAATACCAATTCTCCACTCACTTTTGAATCAGCAGCACAGAATAGCATGGAAAGGCATGATTAGGGAGGAGTTAAAATTTAAATATGAAGGAAAAAAACACATCTCAAAGCTGGTGCATTCAGGAAAACAACATCTTTTGACAAGCAGAATGAGCTAGCTCTTTCAGAAGAAGGGGGAAGGGGAGTCCTTATTAAAGAAACTCTAAAAAGTGATCTAGTTTCATAAAATTCTTACATATCCCGACCCCCCCCCTAAAAAAAATCCTAGCTTACAAATAAAAGTGGACCTCAAAGTTTTGTGTATATTATTTTCCAGAGTCTAATGGTAGAATATTTCATATTCAACTGGTTACAACCCAACTAAGACAGGTTCAACTACTTCAATTGTCATTGCTGTGGGCAGCTAAAGAACAATTGTGTTTCCTGAAAAATCTATTCATTAGCAGCAGTAGCAAACATCAGTAGCCTCCTTTTTAGTCCCCTTCTTTCCCTTATGTGAATTCATTTCAGAAGAGTGACCAGATAAACTTAATGCAGGAAAAAAACACCAATGTTTTACAGAACTTTCAAGTAACCAACAGATTATGCCATGCATCTAGATATAACCTAATAAAATCAATTGCTTCTCAAATTTTCCATCATAAATTACATATGAATAAGGTTTTCTACCACAGGATGCCCGAGAGATGAAAAATAGATTCCAAAAGTACCAAACATATTATACCTACTGTTTCCTAATCCTTATGTTACTGCAAGCCACTTGCAAATATTATATCTCTGTCACAGGGATGTCAAACTGGTGGTCCACAGGCTGAATGCATCACCTGCAGGCCATGCTACCCCAGCTCCACAAAGGCAAAAAACCTCGCGATATGGCATGTGATGTCACGTGATGCACTCTAGTGTGACACCAGTGCTCTATCACAATTACTAGGCTGAGAATGATAGATAGTGGCTATCTATTGAGGTCACAGCTGAGAAAGGTTTGAACTCAGGGACTCACAGTACACTCATTCATTCACCAATCTCAAAGAAATAATGTGAACTTTTGTAGAAGACTTTAGCTGCAACTGCTTCAGAGCTAAAACATTGTTGGAAACCTGCCATCTTTGTGAGAACTGTAGCAGTTAATATAGATGAACAGTAAGTAGCACAAGAAATTTCCTTAACTGAACTGCAGGTTGTGCTTCATTTGTTGCACAGTAAGTAGGCAGTACATGAAGCTCACATTCAGGCTTAATGGCATCAAAGAAGAGACCATCAGTTCAGAATCTTAAACTACATCATAACAAGGCAAAGAGGGTGAGGAATGGAGGTTAATGTTCATTACCATTTTCCAGATTAACATCTCATCCCATCCAGCAATGTAGAAGCTTCTTTCCTTACCAGTTCCTTATTATACAGGAATGAGGGTTCAGACATAAAGCATATGTGAGGAAGAATGACTAAATTGTGCATTATGGGATTATATATGAATATGTGGCAGAAACAAAAGGATAAAAGAAAAAATGGGGGTAGAGTATCCCTTGACCTCTTTTCTTCTTTTTTGCTTATATGAGGCACTCATCTTTGGCATTTGTCCCCACCTTTTGTGGCAGTTTATTGTAGTGGTTAAGGCACCAAGTTACACAGCAGGGAACCATGAGTTCAAATCGCTCCTTAACCATGAAAGCCAGTCACTGCCTCTCAGGATGGTTGTAGTGAGAAAAATAGGAGAAAGGTGTGTTGGATATGTTATTTGTAAAAATAATAAAAGCAGGATAAAAACAACAAATATATAGGTTCCAGAGGCTTAAAAAAAGATTATTCACCTCTCATATAAGAAAGGTAACTGTATGTCATTGTTATTTATAGAATGCAGGTATTACATGTTAGGAATTTACAAGTGATCAGATTTAATCATAATTCTCATTATGGAAAAGCTTAGGTTTATTGGAGGAAAAGAGGAACTGTGAAGAAAGAAATGCCAAGCATCCAGATTTTATTTCAAAAAATCCTAGAGTTTCTTACATCATATAGGTTATTAAGGCCAGATCCATTTAAACAAGTTGCAATCTGTTTTACAAGCAATTACAGTTTGTTCCAAATGATAACTTTTAAAACCCTCTTCCTCTCCAGGTATACAGGATGGAAGCAGAAAACCCACAGTTCACCAAAGCATATTTTCACTGCAGGGAGCCAAGGAATTTGTGACTAAATTAATCCCAACCAGAAACTAACATTAAACAAATATGAGATAGTTGTCTTCATCCTTTTATCAACAGCAATTATGAACCACTTATAGCATTAGACAAAAGCTAATACTGCTTCTTTTCAGCAGTTTAACACCATCCTTATTTCCTGTAAATATACAAGTATAGTTATCTGTCTTGTCTGGTTAGAAGCTCCCTGACCTAGTGCAAACCTATAGCATGTGTGCCACAGATGGCACACAAAGCCATTTCTTAGGGCACGCAAGGCATTGCCCTGTCTCAGATCCAGTGCACATGCGCCCACTGGCTAACTGATTTCAGCCTTCGGTTTTGGCCATTTTTCCCCTCTAGAGGCTTCCCTGAAGCATCCATAGGGCAAAAAACAACCCAATACGCAAACCGGAAGTTCGGGAACAGACTTCCATTTTGCATGTTAGGCCATTTTTCTCCCTCTGGAGACTTCAGGAGGGGTTCTAGGACTTTTTGTCTCCTACTCTTGACCACCCCTGCTTCTCCACAGCACTTTCTCTTGAGGGGATGGAAGGAAAGAATTCTTTAGAGGACGAGAAAGGACAATTAATATAATCCAACGAAATGAGAGAGGCGTAAAAGATTTTGCCAAAATGCCTTACTCCCCCCCCCTCTCTCCCCTTCCCCTTCCACCACCTCCTCTCCCTCCCATCAATACTGGACCCGGTGCTGCTCCTTCACAGCCCGCAGCTACAGGTGCCTGCAAGGCCAGGCAGGAAAGGAGAAAAGAGGGGGGGGGGACTCTCAGATGGTGAGCAAATAAGAAGACACGCCCCTCCCCAATGGTCAGAGTAAAGAACTGCGAGGAAACGTGCAGAGGAAGAGGAAGGAATAGGGGAAGAAACAGAGGAGAAAGAGAAGGAGAGGGAGAAAGAGAAACAGAGAGAAAAAGAGAAATGCAAAAGAAAAGATAATGAGCCTCAGCAGGTTTGCTTTTAAGAAAAGGGTTTGGGGGCTTGGACTTAGTGGTGGGGTGGAGGGGGGAAGAGAAGGAAGGTTCAATAAGCTTCATCCCACTGCAGGGCTGTGGATCGCAATGTGTGCGCCTGGAAGGCAAGAAAGTGGCCAGCTTTCCACTGGGCGATCTGCTACTTTTCCTCCTCCATGTTTTTCCTG